AAAAAAAAAAAAAAAAAAAAAAAAAAAAAAAAAATATGTAATAAGCTTTAAAAAAAAAAATTATAAATTATTCGTGACATGTCCTCCAAACGTGAAGGGGCATCACGTACTCTCACCTCATATCATCGAGTAAGCTTGCACAAGAAACTACCAAAACCCACACCATAACCTCTATTGTCCAATATGCTCAATGTGTTTGATGACAAACTGACTAATCTAGTATGCTCAGTGTCACGGTCATGCTTATCTAAGGTACATTGTCTGTGGCCGCATGCCAAATGTCTCCTTCATGCTTGTCCAAAACATGTTGTTCATGGTCACATGCCCATTCCAAACTCTTTTTACATGCTTTCATCTTAGATAGACCTTTATCATTTCATGTCGTGTCAATACGGGGGTATATGACCAAATACCAAAATCATGTCTACACCCGCCATGGCTAAAATGCCCCAAAATGTACTATAAAGGGATGTGACTAGTTGTAAATTCTTCCTATCCGAGTTATATGCTATCAAAATCATTGTTGTTATCTACCCACTTTTAGCTTATAACACTATTTTCTTTACAATTGTTTCCAACATATTTTCTCGCTCACGTTTTCCAAAATATTTATCTCAAACGTGACCCGAGACTCGAGCATACGTCAATATTGTATGCGAAGTCTGAATTTTACACAGTTGACTTGTTTTCTATTAGAACAATCGCACAATCGTTATCCCATTGGCGCAAGAGTGCGATTGTGACACCCAACGTAGTAAGCCAATCGACTTTTAGTTAGTACTCCAACCCTAAAACCAGGTTCTCTTCCTTAGTCTCGTATTCACAAGCAGTAAATCAAGTAACGACAGAATAAGGATGCGATAGGAATCCCCTCTCTAACGTTCTAACATCTCAGCCAATAATGAGTCAACCGAAGAGATAAAAAGTTTGGAGCCCGAACAAAACTTTCAACCAGAAAGGATAAAAATATTTTAAAAAAATCTTTACTTTTTATTTATTTACAATAAAAATTATAGGTTATAAATTATAAATATAAATATTTGGTTAAATCTAACACAATTTATATATTTATCTTTGAATTTATAAAGAAAAAAAAAAAAAAAAAAAAAAAAAAAAAAAAAAAAAAAAAAAAAAAAAAAAGAAAAAAAAAAGGAAAATACTTAAAGCCCTACGTACACCCTCCATCTGCTGCAACCTCACGCCGCCACGCCAACCGTCGTCGAATGTTCTTTCTTTTCTCGGTTACGTTCAGGGCCTAGGGTTAATTTCTGGATTCAGCTAGGTTTTAATTTGAGATCGTTCCAAATCCGTCCTATTTTTGACGCAAATTTTGAAACTCTACCACGTAGAGGCCCTGAACTGCACCGCGATCTCTCTCGAAAGTGAGGTATTTTCCAAGAAGTTCACATTTCAATCGATTGCAAGCCGTCGTCAGTCTCTGTTTCAGCTACCAGCTGATATTTTGCAGGTACCAAACAAAACGCAAGTTTGTTTTGTCGGCTATTCGCATTTCAGAGGTTCATGTTCTCTGTATTGGCTTTGATTGATTGAAGAATGTTCATGTTGGAGGGCAAAACTCCACTGTTTTTCATATTGCGTCAAATATTCAATTACGTAATGTTTTTTTTATTGCTATAGGCCTGGGGTTAGGTTCATCGATGTTCGAGACATTTGGTAGCTAGGAGTAATTTGGTGAATTAGAAGAATGGTATTTACTGAATATAGTAATTTGTTATATTTCTTGCTGATGTTGTTGTAATGGCAGGAATTATTATGTCGCTTTTTAAACTTTCAAGAACTGCTGGAGTTCGGATGATAAAAGAACTCTTCATAGGTATGCTGTTCTCCTTCATTTTTAAGTACTTGTATTTTATTGGTTTTGTTAGTGGATATCAATTTGGAAGACATGTATAGATGGTGTTCTAAGTCGTCAGTATTTGGGTCTTTCGACCTTCTGACTGGTCCTTTTCCGAGTTTATGCATCCTTTCAGTAGCTTTGGTGGGTAGCCTAAGATTGAATATGGAGACTAGTGTGTGCGTTTCTAGGATGAAATCAAGTTCACTAACCATATAGGGAGACAAAGTTTAAGGATAAAGCATTCTTCTGAAGACCAATCATTTATTCTTCTTGACATACAATATACGACCGCAAACTCCTTGAAGATGACTTTCCGCCATTTAGAAGCAAACGAACAATGATGAAAGAGATGAAGCAACCAAGAACTTGCGATTTTTTGGAGGAGCTTCATATCTTCTTGTCTCATCTTTAAATACAATTGTCTATGCTTTGTATTAGTGATTCTTAGCATTAATCTTATCTCTTTGTTCCTTTGGACATTTTTTTTGACATGCTTATTTGTTTCTTTTCTCTTGGGTCAAAGTTCTTGTAACATGCGATGTAGCCTTTGCCGTTTCTGATTACATTTGTTCCTTTTTTTCTCCAACAGGGCAGTTTTTACATGTGACTAAAGCAACTCACATTCGGGGGCCTTTTTTCAAATACTTGCGACCTCTGGTTAGTTAACAATTCTAGGATTGATATAAGCTGCTCCTACTGTCTTTTAGTTTAATATTCAAACTATTGTAGTTGCTCAAGTTCACAATAGATAGCTGGTCTGAATTAAGTATTAGCTACATTAGTTCATGGTCAAATAGGCATAACTTTTGGGAAAATAATATTTTCTTAATTGCCAACCTAAGCAAGGAGCCATTTTTCTTTTTTCAGCCACAGGCACAAGTTCAGATGCTTCAAGGTTTTAAATGGCGGGAGCAACGTCTGTATTCTACCTCAGGTCCTCAGGACGGCTGCAAAGAAGAGAATGACCCAAAAGAAACGTAAGTTCTTTTAGCCTTTTAACTTTACATGCATACTAGAAGACTTCGATTGCATCAATCGCTATCACCGACTGATTAAACAATATGTAGGTGTACTGTGCATGGTACAAGCATAATTCATGGGGCTTTGAAGCATCAATATCCGTTCAAGTTTTTTGCCTTTAGATTGATAAATAAATTTTTTGAGATTGAATCATAGTTTTCATTGATGAATGAAATATACAAATGGGGAGGATGATCCTTCCTGACACCAATGTAGTTAGTTAGATAATAACCCAGTTGATACACCTCTTATTACTGATATAGTGTTGATCATGGAGTGTTGCTGGATATATTTGAATTTTAGATTTACGGAAATGTATTTGTGGCTATTCAGAACCATCTTTTAAAATTTTATTTTAATGGCATTTGCATTTCTTAGTTCTTTTTCGAGAGTCAGTGTGGATGCTTGCATATAACCAATGTCAAGCTGAAAACAATCCTCTTCGCTCGTAAAAGTTGTGTTACCACTTGTTTGGCCTTTAATAATATAGTGTACTGACATCTCAAGTAAAAACATCATTCAAAAGCTTCTACGCTATGGTCTGCATTTGGATTATTCTGTTGATTCTTCTCTACCAGAAACTGTGATTTGCAGGATATCTGTCACATTTGTCCTTAAGGATGGAGAAGAGAAACAAATTCAAGTTCCCATTGGAATGTCCATGTTAGAAGCTGCTCATCTAAATGACATAGAACTTGAAGGTAAGGAGCTTGATTCCCCCCTCTTCCTTAAGCACTATCCTCCATTTTCTCATGATTTAAGCATCGATTTTACGTAGTTTAACATAGTAGATTATTGCATGCTGGTTCTTGAGTTTCTGTTTCTTCACTAACACTGTTTTATCTCCCGAACCAGGAGCATGTGAAGGTTCATTAGCTTGTTCAACTTGTCATGTTATTGTGATGGTAAGCTCTCTCTCTCTCTCTCTCTATTATTATTTTTTTCGCTGGGGGGGGGGGGGGGG